AATTAAAGCAAACACCCGCTGTGACCTGTGTTGTTTTAAAGCTCTGTTACTCGCAGTTTCTAGCTGCACAAATTTAGCAAACAACTTCTCATGAACAACCGCCTCCAAATGTTAAGTCAGACAGACAGCTAATAACACTTCTTGCACAAATTTATCCTTTAAATCATCAGGAAGTATAAACTCGGCAGGAGGATCTAAATTGCTTATACGCTTATAGGTGTACTGGCGGCGGATTTCCAGAAAAGTTTGGTGATTGAAGTCATTCCACTCTCCTGTACGCCCATCACTTCTCGCGATGAAGTCCTGGATTAAATGTCAAATTGTTGATTGTCAAAAATTAGTAGGTTCAAATTACCTAAAAATGGAATACCTCTGGGAAAACATTATTACCATTGTTTGAATCAATATCACGTGAACGTGTGCGTCTGGCCGAACGATGCGTCCGGGAAAAAGAACAGTTTTTCCACAACTCAATCCTTTCAGCGAAAATTGCACATTCCTGCCATAGACTTAACTCCAATTTTATCAATTCCTGCATCCTAGAAACACGAAAATAGGCATATGAATACCACGAAAATAGTGAATGGCTCACCATTAAGCAACAACAATGGAATGGTTTAGTCATCCAAGTCAAAAATGCATCATATGGAAATTAAACCTAGGAAAAGCCGATATTCTAAAGATTCCCATTATAATAGAGTAGCTATCTAATATATACTGCGAAAATGTTCCTGAACTTTAAGAATCAAATAATGCAATGACCACTTGATAGCACCTGAAATGTCGATCACCGTAACCAGTTTGAAGTGGCTTGGAAATACGCATCAAACTCAAAAAGCGACAACCACTTGCCACATTCGCAAATAACTGATTCTGACATGCTTTAGTGTTAATTGTAGCGTCAAATAATTTCTCCAACATTTTGACCTGATAAGCCTCCCATATTAATGACTATGAAGAATGATAAGCTAATATATAACAAATGTGATTGCTCTCGTCTTTTCTCTCAGCGTAACGAAGATCACGTAAATCGCCATAAAAACAAATCACCTTTCCTTTTCGTAGCGATAATACTCAGACAAGGCTTGCTCAACTCCATGCAGAACTTTCCTTAGAGACCAAAAATCTGATATCAAAAATCGATTAGATTCGGTTACTAGGCTTTCGTTCAGTTGCCTCAGTCTGAGCATTCGTAATTTTCACCTTGAGCTCGCATATCATTTGAAATAGACTCCGACCTAAACTGATGGCAGAAAAGATTAAAACGTACCATCTTCTAAAAATTCGCCACGCAATTTAGAACAAAATTTTTGAATTTCATTTTCACCATCTCGTAAATCTAACTCCCAACAAATCTTTGCAGTAGTAAGGTTCTTAGGTAAATGGCTCACACTTTGTCGATGAAGAAATGCTTTGTAAGCTGAATTTCCATCCAAAATGCGCATTTCGATCAAAGTTTATAAGTGTCTCGTCAAATTGTATTCGGTCAAAAGATTAATGGCCAGACAATAGCGTCGACTTCGATAACGTCACTGACGCGGACTTTCCGTTTCCTTTTTAGAAAGCGCCAATTCTCTACGCACCGTCACAACTGCTTGAAGGTCAACTGTAGAAGTTTAAAATTTTCTTCAGTAAATAATATTTTATACTTAGCTGACAAAGTTGCAAAATATCCAAATTTAATTAGCGTATTTACAGGCGCTTATAAGCTTTTAATAGTTCTAAAGGACACTAAACGCATCAAGTAAAAGTTTATAATTGTTATGTGCTCTATGAGATTGTGTATCCCGAAAGTCGACTTAATGCTTTATGAAATAACATATAATTAAGCGGCTGCAGCGTCCAGAAGTTTTGCACTAGGTAGAAGAACGCGTTGAGGTGGTCTCAATGCATATATTCTGTGGAAGAAAAGTGAGTAAGCCTTGGCTCGACATGAAGGTCGGCCTGCACGTACAAGGACCAAATGCAATACTTTATCCTTGTGGCTACCTGATGTCCAATGGTTACTTTGTATTCATCTAATTCTTGTATACATGGGCCAACCTTCGGTATAAGTTCAGGCTTAATCACCTTTCTTTCCTTAGAAGGCATGTATTCAGCCCAACTCAACGCTTTCTTCTACCTGGTGGGAAGTCTTGGGGCACTACACCAGACAAATCACAAAGTAACCACCAGGCAGCACATTAACAAAGTACTGCAATCACTGTCCCTATTCACTCTGGATTTTTAGGCTAGTACCAGCGTCCTAATTCTGCACACTATGTAGGGAATTCCTCGAGAAGAATTGATTATAGAGGCTGAAAGGAAAAAAATGGAGGATGGGTATGTCTGGATCTTGAGGCCAGCCCGCACATATAAGAGTAAGATAAAGACTAAAGTCACCGCGAATCATACAAGTAGTCAAACATGCGACGCCCTCGGTGCACCTTCCGAGTCAGCCATCGTAACGTATCCGTTGGTACAAGGAAAGACCCATGACCCAGCGCACTAGTCATTACTGCCTATGAGACTGACGGATTATACGTGCTCTTCTTACACGCTTCAAGTGGAGCTGGTTTACATTGGGTTTGACGCCAGAAATCAGAGGCAATAAGTTCTGTTTACTTTTAGTCAGTTTACTTTGCTTTGTATAATGGCTTATCAACCGCGTTTGGTGGAAATCTGTGATTAAGAAATAAAATGCCCATTTTTTGTGCATGACGTGTACATAACCCATGGATTTAAAGCGTTCGAAACTTTCATGGAAAGCCTTGCCGAATTGTAATCAGTGTTGATCGTATTTTGATTATTATAACTAATCATATATTTTGACACCCTACACATATTTTAAGCACCTTGTGATGACTATCCAGCCGTTTTTGAACCAAAACTACGTTTAAATATCTCACTGTCTTAGAAAATGCTGGACCAAGCAGTCCAGCTCGAGCTAGTTTGGGCCTATTTGAAAACGTCGACAACGAAAGCATGATCGTGCAGTTCACTTGAGTCTGTTCACCTTGAGTAGGCACAAGGGTCCACTAAAATTAGCGAGGCGAATCATGTAGAACGTGCTCTTTACGCTCCTATACCAGGCGCAATAAAGCGTGACCAAATTTGCTGCCTTTTTGAGGAATTAAGAAACGCCAACATAACTTTGAACATTCACTTCTGCTAAAGGTAAAATAACCTCAAAACTTATATGTGAACTGAGAAATAGCAAAGTAGCCGCCTTTGGCTATTCATTTTAGGAGATAGTTCAATGGGATGATCGACATCTAGATTGCGCCTTGTTAAATAGTGCATCTTTTCCATGCTGTTTGCCGCTATTCCTTGTGAACGTACAACTTCTTTCAATTCTAATGAAATAAGTACATTTTGATAATTTTTAGACGTAAGTCTAGCTTGAAAAAACATACGCAGTGTACTGCATTTTTCCTTCTTTAATGTGCTAGCAAAATTAGACGCGACACGCGTTATGGTACAACTTGCTGAATCAAAAATTGCTATTCCTTCTGGACAGCCACCGCTCTTTACTAAGTGACAGGAGTGAAGTAAGATCCCAATTCGTTTATTTACAAAAATGAAAGATTTGTTGTGAGTTCTTAGTTTTGAATGTGCTATGAATGGTTATCGAGACAGGGGTTTGACCACAGGCATCACAATCGCAGAATGGTCCAACGGAATGGTCAAACAGAAATGGCTGATTTCATTTGCGAACGAATGGACGGAGACGGATTTGAGGACCAATTATTCGACTGATTCCAGGCAATCGTTAGGCTCCCCTCTCGCAAGGCCCTGGTCATCAACTAAATGCAAACGTTAAAATGTTCTTCGAACCAGTTTTCAAGATTTTCTCACCGGAAGAAACGCATGAAAATCGACACAGTCAATGTGCAAAGATGGTAAGAGTCTTCGGTATTTTGTGACCATTTGTTGGCTTTCTCGAGTAAAGTACACTCTAAGCTCGGCAGAGGCTAGAACACGGAACTCACAAAACCCGCGCTTCCTCAGCAATATACACAGTAGGCCTGTTACAGCCTTAGAAATTCCGATTTTTGGCCGAGGTAATCGCAGAATCCCCTGTCTTTGGAGTACGACAATGCATTCGCTATAGAAGCGATGAAAATATTACTACGGGCATCAATAATTTATAAGCAAGAGCACTGGATTTCAGCAAAACACATCAGGCACGGGTGGTCAAATACTTCTGCGTCAATTTCGCATCTCTTCTTTATTTCCCCAAAAAGACAAGACGCCATTTAAAATAAGCATGAACCGAAGTCATACCATGGGAGCTGGTGTCCCATTGGCTAGTGCTAATGGTATAGCTGGCGCCGGGTCGCAGAGGGGAGAGGGTGGTGACGCTATCAACCGTTGGATCAGCGCGTCCACCACTCCGCGTTTTGGGACGCATTGGACTGAGGCCAGCATTACCTTGACCCTCGGGGAGCATCGAGAAAACGCTCGTGGGACTAGCATCATCATCACCATCATCGTCATAGTCAGCTTTAACCACAAAACGAAAATGCGATTACTAACTTTAAACCTACGAACACATTTAGCCATGTTGCGATGTCACCATAGGTAAAATAAAAGCACGTTTACTGAACTCATTGAATTTTCTTTACAAAAAACGCGCTCAACTCGCCGCATTTTTAAAATTGCGCAAAATCCGGCGGATTATGGATACACTCAATTTGACGTTGCAGCTGCATTAAACTGAAGTAGAGCTCTCGCTCTTATCATTTCATGTTTTCGTAATGGACCTCTATGCATCAACTTCTGAATCGATGAATGCCGGTAGAAAATTAACAATTCGATGCCCTCAGTGAGCCAATATGTTTTTCCAGCCATTGTGGACTCGTACCATCGTTTCGAAAACCTCGTATAGCATATATCAATTACACTGTCCTTATTGCACTCTCAAAGATCTAAGTGAGATGTCAATAGCAAATAAATTATGCTTCTAATACCATCCCTGTCTGTTGGTCGTTCTTTATTTCGATCATCCCACTGAGCTTAACCGCTACACAATGATTTCGGCCACGTTTTGTGCGTATAATATTGGCATAAAAAAGAGACCACACACTTCTAAAGGGGAAGCATGGGTTAACATTGCGCTTCGCTCATGAGAAGTTTGCGATTAAATGAGTTTCACCAATCATTGGTAATAGACGTTCGATCTTTACTACTTGCTCGTATCCTTACCAATTGTATTTTATCCTTAATATTGGCACATTTTTGGAACAATAAGAAAGTGTTTACAAAGATTAAGTATACTCTCCAAAACAAGATGGTTGAATATGCCGTGGTCACATTGATGAACGGTGCCTTGAAGGTTATGAGACGGCCGACACCGGATTGTAGGGTGTCGGACCTAGACTGTCATGAAAATGCAAAAAATCAGGCTACAAAAAAGTGACATTAGAATTTTGGGGAAAATGCTTCAATAGCGCCAGTAAAAGCAAGTATAGACAGAGGGTGTTGCAAAGCCTCAAGAAGACTTACCCTCATCAGGTTTACCATTTATGTTGTACTTCTTTTCATCAGAAAACTTGACTGAATGACTAGGAGAAGGATTTTTACTCTGGAATTGGTCATCAGCCTCTTCATCCGCCCATTGATGGGGTTTTTTTATGGCTCTGAAACACGAATGGATGAAACCGACCATAGTAAGCACTTCTGATTTAAACGGTCATTAATCAGCAAAAAGACTGACAGTACATGCATTGAGACAAACTTTGAAGTATGACCCAAATACGATCAGCTTACTTAGTTAACCTGACTTGTTTGAAGATGAATTACATCTACTCAAATGACACTAAAGATTCGCTTAGAATGCGAGGAAATAAAATTTATCTGCTTAGTTTCCGTGGCCCACAACAATGTCAAACGAGCTGTCGTATCTCAACTAATCTTAAGGTTCGAGGCCCCAAAAGTGGGCGAATCTTCCAAGTCAAGATTTAGTTTAGTTACATAGAAGGAAATAGAAGACAAAACCAATGATGAAAGGAGAAAATTATTAATGATAAAAAGTTTGATGCGGAATGAAGTATTAAACAGAATGTATGTACTTT